TCCTGGGGAGTATGTGGTGTGTACAAAGGGGTGGGGGGTGGGGATACCATGGGGGAAGTTTGGTTTATGTGATACCTTATGTGGGGGTGGAGGGCAGGTGTTTTGGGGTAGTATCTGAGGGCCGCCCCCAGCTGTCCAGGGACATGGTGAGGTGCAGGGGGGATGTGGAGCTGTAGCTGTGTGGGGTGCTATGTGTAGGGGTATGCAAGTACATAGGGGTGATTGAGAAAAGTGTGGTGCCCTGGGGGTGCACTGGGGCAAAGATATAAAATTTTTTAAGCACTCTGCATAGGAGTATCGGGGTTACATAGAAGTGCTGGTGGGAGGATGGGGGAGATGGGCACACAGGATGTGTTTGTATGGAGCACCCTGTGCAGGGATATAGTGGGCTATAGGAGGACGATCTGGGGGCAGATGTGCTTCTGGGGAGCACCTCTCTATGGGGTGGTGTATAGGGGTGCCAGGGAGGTGAGTGTATATGGGGGCAGAGGGGAGGGGAGTGTGTATGGGGGTGTCCCCATAAGGGCTGCCCTGCAGAGGGATGCAAGTGTCTGCAGGGATGCCCTGAGGAGAATAGGGAGCACTGTGCTATGCAAGGGATATGAATGGGGTGGAGAGGCACAGGTTAAATTGGGGTGCAGCAGCCAGATGGGGAGAGGTGTGAAGTGTGTCTATATGGGGCGTTTTCTAGGGAGCAGGGTGCCTTGGTGGGCTGTGTGTAGGATCCACAGGGCTGCAGATGCCCAGGTGGGTACATGGCATGTTTGGGTGATGGGGGCTGTGATGGGGGCAGGACTACATCCCCGTAGCTTCTGGCAGCCTGATCCTGAAGCTCGCCTGGTGTTAGCGGGGCATTGCTGGTGACCCTGAACTGGTGTCAGGGTACATGAGGGACTGAGAGGGTTCCTGTCCTTCACCTCCTTGCCTCTCCTCCCAGTCGCCGTGTCGGTGCCAAAGAAGAAGCGGAGGATGAAGGAGCTGAACAAGAAGGAGGCAGTAGGCGATTTGCTGGATGCCTTTAAAGAGGTGAGTGTGCCAGGGGTGTCTGGGAGTTAACCCTGTGTCCCATCTCCTCCTGTGATGATCTCTGCTTTGTGCCATCGTGTCTGGGCCACTGATGCTTCATGATGGTAATGAGGATCTGAGGGGGTGATGTGGATGCCTAGGTGTGGGGTGAAGGGGGCAGGACCAGGCTCACGGGGTGACTGCTGCCCTCCTGATGCAGTCTCAGATCAGTGACAGTGCCTCGGAGACAGAGAACAAGCCCCCCATGTCCACTCCTGCCCGTGACGTGGAGGACGTGGCCCCTTCCCGTCCACAGGAAGACTCTGAGGAGACGTGGGAGGAGAAGGAGGACAAGCTGGCCCCGGAGAAGGGCAAGGCTGCTGATCAGAAGTACCGCTACAAGGAAGGTGAGCCGAGCCTTGGCCCAGGCCTCTGCCGGGAGCCCCTGCCTCTGCAATCAGCAGTGGGGAGGGTGGGGGTCGCATGGTCTAACTGTCCTAAGCCTCATGCTCCCCTCCCGTCTTGTCCCTGAACCTGGAAAGGGGTGGGGAACAGAGGCCTCAGTGTGAGGGTCCTGGCAGGAGACAGGGAGCTGGTGGCACCAGGCTTTCTGTGTAAGTAAGCAATGTTGTGCTCATAGCATACCAGGCTGGGGCAGCTCTGTAGCTGTCTACATCCTATCTTGCTGGTCCTTGGGTGGGCCTGGACTTACCACAGCTCAGGGTGGAAGATATGGGACAGGCCACATCAAGGCCTCTCTCTCTCCCCGCTGCAGAGCAATGGAAGCCACTGAACCCTGAGGAGAAGAAGCGCTATGACCGGGAGTTCCTGCTGGGGTTCCAGTTCATCTTTGCCAGCATGCAGAAACCTGAGGGGCTGCCCCAGATCACGGATGTGGTGCTGGACAAGGTTGGTGCGGCCCTGGAAACAGGGGAAGTGTGGGTGGTGGCCAGGTGGGGTCTGGATCCAATTTGTGCCTTGTCAAGGCAGGGCAGGAACTTGCCTGCTGTGCTCAGGGTCCTGTTGCAGCATCTGTAACAAGCCTTGAGCTTGGGGGGTGGTTTGTGGGGGCACCTCTGGGTCCTTTTTTCCAGTTCCTTGTCCCGGCGCTGAGGCTGGGGGATGGATCCATCCCGCTCCTCTGCCCCCTGGGCATCCTCAGCCCTGTGTACCTTTGCAGGCCAACAAGACCCCGCTGAGGGCGCTTGACCCCATCCGCCTCAGTGGCATGAACTGCAGCCCTGACTTCACCCCCTCCTTTGCCAACCTTGGCCGGCCCGTTATGGGCAACCGGGGCCTGGTGAGTATCTCCTCATTTCACCCTTGCTGTCCCCCTCTGCCTCTCTGTGATGATCAAGCATTTGAGCTGCTGTGTCTGGGCCACTGATGTTCATGATGGAGCTGAGGATCTAAGTAGGCAGATGGGGACACCCTGTGAGCTGGCTTGGCTGTCCCAGAGCAAAGAGCTGAGTTTGTTCTCCCTGTGTCAGCCCTCTGGGTTGGGTCCCCGCCGCTCCCAGCAGAGCCAGAGGAAGGAGCCCCGCAAAATCATTGCCACTGTGTCCCTCAATGAGGATGTTAAGCTGAACAAGGCTGAGAAGGCCTGGAAACCCAGCAGCAAGCGTGCTTCGGAGGAGGAGGATCCTGAGAACATCAAGACACAGGTGGGAGCTGGGGCGGGCGGTGGGAAGGCAGGGAGGAATGTGTCTGGCTCTCGCTGACCCTGCTGTCCATGCAGGAACTGCTCCGCCGTGTCCGCAGCATCCTCAACAAGCTGACACCCCAGATGTTCCAGCAGTTGATGAAGCAGGTGATGGAGTTGTCCATCGACACGGAGGAGCGGCTCAAGGGTGTTATTGACCTCGTCTTCGAGAAGGCCATCTCGGAGCCAAACTTCTCTGTTGCCTATGCTAACATGTGCCGTTGCCTTATGGGGGTGAGCAGGAGCTGGGGGGTCTCTAACTGAGCTGGCAGGGGTTTGTCAGGGTGCCTCGGCTGAGCTCAGCAGGCTGCAGGCCCTTCCGTGTGAGGTGGGATGGAGGACCAAGTCCAGAGTTTTGTCAGGGCATCACAAGGGTGTAGGGTGGCTTTTCCCTGGTTTGAACAGTGCCTGGGCCTTAGCTGGCCAGCTTTTGTGGGAGACACGACTTAAGCTTCTCACCTGGGTTGTTCCTCTCCCTATAGCTCAAAGTGCCCACAACAGACAAGCCCACGGTGACTGTGAACTTCCGCAAGCTGCTTCTCAACCGCTGCCAGAAAGAGTTTGAGAAGGACAAGGACGACGATGAGATCTTTGAGAAGCGGCAGAAGGAGATGGACGATGCCAGTGCTGTGAGTTGGGGTGGGACCCTGTGGCTGAGGGCTGGCATGGCTGTCCTCGGGGCGGCTCTGGGCTCTGAGCTGCCCTGCTGTACCTTCCCTGCAGCCCGAAGAGAAAGCACGCATGAAGGATGAGCTGGAGGAGGCGCGGGACAAGGCCCGCCGGCGATCCCTGGGCAACATTAAGTTCATTGGGGAGCTCTTCAAACTGAAGATGTTGACAGAGGCCATCATGCATGACTGCGTGGTGAAGCTGCTCAAAAACCATGATGAGGAGTCTCTTGAGTGCCTTTGCCGCCTACTTACCACCATTGGCAAGGACTTGGACTTTGAGAAGGCCAAGGTACTGCTTGTCCTGCACTGCCTTCCTGTGCCCTGCCCTTGCTTTTGGGAGGGATGTGACCATGACTCTGTCCCTCTATAGCCCAGAATGGACCAGTACTTCAATCAGATGGAGAAGATCATCAAAGAGAAGAAGACATCATCCCGAATCCGTTTCATGCTGCAGGATGTGATTGACCTCAGACGGGTAAGGCGCGTGGCCTGTTACTGCCTGGGGACTGTCCTCTCTACCCTTCTTGGTCCCATGGAGCTGCTGGCCTGTGTCCTCTTGAGTGCCAGCAGTCCATGCATCCCTGGGAGGGGGAATATGGGTATGTAAGCTGTGTCCAGCCCCAGAGACGCTATGCTAGCCCCCCAGCTCTTGGTTAGCATGGTAGTGGTAGTGGGCATACAGTAACTGGCGGCTGTTTAATACAGGGGGGCTCCAGAAATTGAGCCCTTTTGTGCCAAAAGCTGCCACAGAATATGGGGAGCTGTCATGGCCGAGGCAGGAGAGCGGCCTGAGGCTTTGAGGGTGGAATGGCTAGGAAGGGGGAATGTCTCTCCCTCCATCCTCCAGGAGGTCATGCCCTCTTCCCTCCTTCCCTGCCCTATGCAGAATAGCTGGGTGCCGCGGCGAGGAGACCAGGGCCCCAAAACCATCGACCAGATCCACAAGGAAGCAGAGATGGAGGAGCATCGGGAACACATCAAAGTGCAGCAGCTCATGTCGAAGGACAAGAGGAGAGGGCCCCCCGGGCCATCCTCCAGCAGTGAGTGCCTGGGCTTGGGGGCAGCTGAGGCTGCCAGGGATGGATTGATCCCACTGGGCAGTGCTCGGGCTGTGCCTTATGTCTGTCCCCTTTGTACCCAGGTGGGCGTGGGAGCTTGGTTGCAGATGATGGCTGGAACACTGTGCCCATCAGCAAGGGCAACCGGCCCATTGACACCAGCCGGCTAACAAAGATCACCAAGGTGAGGCTGAGAGTGTGATGTGGCATCTCAGAGGCTGCCTGGCCCGGATCCTGCCCTGGTGTGAGGTTCAAAGCTGACTCTGTCTCTCCACCTGCAGCCTGGATCTATCGACTCCAACAACCAGCTCTTTGCGCCGGGCGGGCGGCTGAGCTGGGGCAAAGGCAGCAGTGGCGGGTCTGGTGCAAAGCCTGCAGATTCAGGTATTCAGCATGGGGCTGGCTGGGTGCTCTGGGACGGGGCTGGAGGGGGGATCCTGTACTGGGGAGGTGCCGAACTCTGAGACTCCCCTCTTTTCACGCCCAGCGTCTGATTCAGGGCGACCAGCCACAAGCACCTTGAACCGCTTCTCAGCACTCCAGCAGTCGACCCCTGCCGAGAGCCTGGAGTCCCGCCGTGTGGTGCAAAGGTGAGGGGCCAGCCCTGCCATGGCTGTGTTGGTCTGCAGCCTGGGGAGACACCCTCGGAACTGGGGAGTGGTGGGTCAATACATAGGCAAATGTATGACACCTGGGCTGGAATAATCCCCCGTGGCAAGATGGGGCCTTCAGGGAGCTTAGAGTCGGTGGTGAGTCCCTGTGGCTGACCTCCCACCCTGGACTTCCTCCTGTTTGGCTCTTGAGGACCACACCTGGGTGCTGGGTCTGGTCTCGGGTCCTGTGACCAGACAGGCTGGAGAGAGTCCCTGGAGGCTGGAGTACAAGGTCCCCAAGGAGAGCTGGAGTTGAGTTTATTCAGGAGACATGGAAAGCAAAAGGGACGTTCACCACAGTCTGCTGCAGGGGGAAGGTGCAGGCAGAATGGGGTCAGGCTCTCCTCAGCTAGGTCAAGGGACAGAACGAAAGGCAAAGGGCATGAATTGGAACTGTGTAAAAACGGGGAGAAGTGTTCTCCCCTGCAGGTGGTCAAGTGCTAGAAGAGGCCCTTGAAAGGGCTGGGATTGGAGTGGGATAGCCTTGCCTTGCAGAGCTCCACAGTCTGGTGTCAGGGAGGGTGGTGATGGGCTCTTCACACTGTGTCTGTCTTCCTCCCATCCAGGAGCAGCTCCAGCCGCGATAGGTCAGAGAAGGCTGGGGACAGAGGGGAACGGGAGTCGCGTTCAGAGAAGGGCAGTGACCGCCTGGAGCGTCCTGACCGGGGGGAGCGGGCAGACAGGAACAGGTCTGCCCTCACCAAGAGGAGCTTCAGCAAAGAGTCAGAGGACAGGAGCCGAGAACGAGAGAAGCAGAGTGGCTCCGAGGCTGTGCGCAAGGCTGCTAGCATGTCGGAGGAACGGGATAGGAGCCGAGAGACCAGTGAGTGGGGAGCAGTGGTCTCCTGTGGATCTCGGGGGCTTTTCCTGGCCTAGCCAGTGCCTCATCCTTGCTCTTGCCTTGCAGATAAGCAAGAGCCAGCAGCTCCTGCAGCATCTCCCAAGCCTGTGCTGTCAGAAGAAGAGCTGGAGAAGAAATCCAAGGCGATCATAGAGGAATACTTGCACATCAATGACATGAAGGTGAGAGGAGGGGGTGGCCAGGCACAGCACCAGATGGCCCCTGGAACACGCCATTCACTTCTGTGGGCAGTAGAGCTGTTGGGCAGGACAAGGAAGAGGGGAGCTGCGGCTGGCCCTGGGGGAGCACCGAACCCCTGGAGGCCCTGCAGTGCGTACAGGAGCTAGGCAGCCCCTCCTCGCTCTACATCTTCGTGCAAAATGGTATCGAGTCCACACTGGAGAGGAGCACCATCTCCCGCGAGCACATGGGGGTCCTGCTGTGCCAGCTGGTGAAGGCGGGCACGCTCTCCAAGGAGCAGTACTACAAAGGGTGAGGGGTTGGGGCAGCCTGGCCACAAAGCTGGTATTTGCTGGGTTTTGAATTTGGCCCTGCCCTGAGCAGGGCTTGTCACTTGAGACCTCCTGAGGTCGCTCCCAGCTGAGGGCAGGGAGGCTGCTGGATTCCAATGGCCCCCTTCTGCCCTGCAGGCTGCGGGAGATCCTGGAGATCGCGGAAGACATGGAGATTGACATCCCGCACATCTGGCTGTACTTGGCTGAGCTCATCACCCCCATCCTGCAAGAAGAAGGCATCCCCATGGAGGAGCTGTTCAGGTGAGGGCTCTGCCCTTCCACAGTGATGCCGTGGGGTCCCAGGAAGGCTCCTGGGGGCAGGTAGCTCAACTAGGTCTCTTGTGCTCTGCAGGGAGATAACAAAACCCCTGGTGCCCATTGGGAAGGCCACCACACTGCTAGTCGAAGTGCTGGGCTTGTTGTGCAAGGGCATGGTAAGTGCATGGGGCTCTAGTAGCTGCTTTGGGGACTGGCAGTATGCAGGTTGGCAGGCAGGGACTGAACCCTTCTGTCACCAGAGGGATGGCAGGGGGTAGCCCTTGCCACGTCTGGGTCATGGGGGTGGCATGGCCAATCTGCAGTATCCCCCTCCCTGGAGACTGAGCGCATGGGGTGCTGATGCTGACTGTCTGTTTTGTAGGGCCAGAAGACCGCAGGCAAGCTGTGGCGGGACGGGGGTCTGAGCTGGAAGGAATTCCTGCCTGAGGACCAGGATGTCAACAAATTCGTCACAGAGCAGGTGGGAGCTCTGTGGTGAGGGACAGAGATGGACCTTGGCGGGTCCTGCTGCTGGGATCATGGTGTTCCCTGTGCTGACTGTAATAGCTCATCTCTGCTGGTCCCCCAGAAATTGGAGTACACGATGGGGGATAGCTCGGACACGCTGAGCCGCAAAGAGCTGACCTCGGAGGAGCTGTGCAAGCAAATGGACAAACTGCTGAAGGAGAACCCAAACAACCAAAGAATATATGACTGGATCGAGGTGAGAGTTGTGGGTGCAGTGCAGACGTGTCCAGGGGCTCCCTCCAGCTCCCTCTCACCTCACAGCCCCCTCTCACCTCACAGCCCCTCTGCTCTCCCTCTTCTAGGCCAATCTGAGTGAGCAGCAGGTCTCATCCAACACGTTTATCAGGGCCCTGATGACATCCGTGTGCCACTCAGCCATTGTCTGTGAGTATGAGGGTGAGGCAGGGGGGGTCCCCTTGCCTATGCTGCCCCCCTCTCATGTCCCATCTCCCTCAGTTGAGAACCCCTACCGAGTGGATGCCCTGGTCATCCGCAACCAAGCCAAGTTGCTACAGAAGTATCTGCGGGATGAGCAGAAGGAGCTCCAGGCACTCTACGCCCTGCAAGCCTTGGTGGTGAAGTTGGACCAGCCTCCCAGTGAGTGTTGTGGGGCAGGCGGGCGGAGGGGGGG